ACTTTTAAATTCGCAGTAAAAATATTTTTGGTCACTCGTTTATTAGTAGAAATGATCTACATACACTCTACCCTTAAGAGGTTAAGCTAATACCTCTTAATGTCAATACAAAATTTGTCCATAATATATTAATTTTTAAACTAATTACAGTATTAATATAGAACTTACTATGTGCAATTTTTTTTTTTAATTAAAATTATTAAATTTTTTATATTAATTTATATTAAAAAGAATTAGTTTTTTTTTGTACTATCAAACCACTCAAATCGATTTTGTCAAAATTAGTAGGCTCAAATCTGATAAAATTAACCTAAGTCTGTTTTCGCTATAACAATTAATCTAATAATTTTCAATGGTTTGAAATTTGATATCCTCTCAATGTTGATACAAAATTTGTTCATGTATATTGGTTTTGAGAGATCTAATGATATTTACGTATTAAGAAATAGGATAATGAGATTTTTAATTACCTGCAACAAATTACGGCCATTCAAATCTTTCTTCCAGAAGGATACTTGTGAGTTGTTGATAAATCAACTCCTCTCCAAAATTCTAACAAGTTATCTACTACCGGAGCGAGGTAATTATTAATCCGATGTAACTTGACTTCTTTTGGTCCTAGTAGAAGAGCTAAAAGTAATATATTTTTCTTTTTAAATCGGATCTCCCATGGTAGATTACAAATTGCGCCATATATTGCACCACTGCTATAAGAAGCTGTGTCAAAAGGCTGGAACCAGTCCATATTGATGATTATGCCCAGATGTGAATCGGCAGTTTCAGGTGTGAAAAATCTCGATTCCTTCAAATTGTTATCAGATGGGAAGGTTTTTCAAATTTCACTGTCGTATATATCAGACATTAAGTAAGGCTCGCTGTCCCGATTAGTCCACTTATACAAAAGTTCCTCGAATCCTGATATGATAGTTATGATTATAATTTAATTATGATATAATTAAAAGAAAACTTTACTTAAAAGAATGTATAAAACAAGTTGTTCTCCTGTATTTCAACTTATAAAAGCAGCAATATTTAACATATCTGGCCTTTGATATATTATGGATATTTGTATTCTTAAACATGGTAATAAGTATACCATTTTAGGACGCCAAATATATCTATCAGTTACTGGTACTTTAACTAACAATTCAGATCCACAGGGTTCACGTTTAGACCGTAATGGATGATCAGGAAATTCAGTGTATGTGCATTTGAACCCTGGACTATTAGCATCTGCATTTTTTGGAACTATGGTATCAATATTATACAACTTATTGTAGTCAAGACAAGTTGCGAATTTTTTTATTTTTTTTTTAATTTTTAAAAATTTTCTAGCTTTATTGGCATTTGAGGGAAAGTTTTCAAATCTTTTTTTATCCAAA